AGTCGCGGTCGACCGTGGTAAATGACAGAAACCAAAAATCAATTACAGGGTCCACAGTCGACTGCCGCGGTCGACCGCGAGAAATCCAGAATAGACCCTGAGTCTGTGCACGTTTGTGGTCGACCGTCGAAGTCGCCGCGGTTGACCGTAAAGCCTCCAAAGTGTTTCTTTCGTCGTTTTGCCTAAACTTCATCGCCGTCATTCCCGTTCCTTCAGTAATTTGGTTCATGTAAATCATTATATGACATGGAATATTATTGGTAGTTGAGTTAAATAATACCAATATTGTTTCTTTGCCAAACTGATCCAACAACCCGGTTTCATTTAGGATTAGAATTCCTATTTGATTAAAGAATCTTTTGACCGTGTCCTATAAGCATGATAGTGGAAGTAGCAATGAGTATGGTTCGACAGAAGGCACAACTCTTTGAAGCTGTGAGCAATAAATTGATTTTCGGTATAGCTCTTTTCTGTGTAATAAATTGATTTTCGGTATAGCTCTTTTCTGTGTCCCTTTTTGTAAGAGAAATTGCATTTGATCTACCAAACTTAGAGTCACAGCATCAAGGGAAAGATTGGATGGTTCTTTATTAAGGTTGTAGGCAATTGAGGTGCCCAATGACAACAGTAAGCATTGAGACAGGCTCAGCAGGCTGAAGCAATAGGTTCAAGATGTTCTTGATTGGGCTCTCTATTCGGTTGGCTCTACAGGCGATAGAGATTGTTAGATAGATTAAGTGCTTTCTAGGGTGTGATTTAGGATCGAGTGATTGAGAGATCTTCATATTGTATTTCTCATAATTTAGTAAAACTATTCTCCATCTTCGCCTGTGGATGTAGGCTATAAGCCGAACCATGTATATCTGTATGTATTTATCTTCTTGATATTTTTTATGTTTTCATATGATTGATATTAGTTTATTCCAGGAGAATTGTCATAACAATACTAATAGGATAATAAGAAGAAAGAGAAAGGAGTGTGATTTGTCATCAGACTGGAATAACATCATTTTGGCTCTTGAGATCTATGAACAAAAACAGTTTACATCAGTCCCTCTAAATCTCTGATCGATATTTGTAAAGATGAGCATCCACTAACAAAGTGGCTTCCTCAAAGGCTTGAACTTAATTAACTTTTCCCCGAAGAAATGATTAACTAATGTAATCTTCTCCCAATATTTACTCAGTACTTCTCCTTATTTTGCTTCTCAATTTGATCACATTAAGTCAGAAATACTATACTTCAGTAAGTATAGACAAAGAAGGTTTATCAGCTATGGATTTGGATCTGCATGTTTTTTAAGGCAAATGGCATTTCTAGAATTGTATGTCTCAAACATTGACGCAACACAGAAGTGATAACCTCGGAATTCACCAAGGTGTGTTCTCTGAATCCAAAAAAACGATTTCCGAATCCTTGAAGAACATTGAATCTACGAAGAAAATTTTAAAAGAGAAATTTTATTGATGAAAAATTATGCCTCTAGGACTTACAATACTCTGCTTAAATAGAAAAATAAATAAGACTCCTACTATGACTCAAACTTTACAAAAAATAGAAATAACAAAACTCATTCATAAAAGACTCCTTAGGATTAGGGAAGTAAATTGGTCAAATTTAGAGTCAAACCGAATTTACTTCCTAATCAAAACAAACTCCTAAAACATTACTTAAAATAGTAAAAAACTAAAAAAATGCTGATATCTTTCAATCCGGGGGTAATTTGGTGAAACAGACAGTGGCAAACCGAACATTGATGGGTTTGGTTGACTCCGTCTTGACAAAAATACGCGGTGTACATATATAATTCGTCCAATTTCAACTTACGGTTTGAGAGATATGACCCGTTCTTTGTTGCAAGTTATTTTCCTCGACCAGGTCCGCGTTTGGGCTTGTGTCGGTCCCGCTTCTCCATAAATATGTCCGCAGTGGCTAAATTTATCATTACCAATCTCCTTTTCCCCTTCCCTTTTAGCAGTTCATTTGTTAAATCAGATAAGACGACTTTTCATCCCTTTCTTCTTCTTAGTTAGGCGAAGGAACGGATTCTTGTCATTTGAATATGCCTTGAGCAACCAAAAAGGATGTTGCCTTGCTCCTTCACCTTCCTGCATACCTAAAGAAAAGAAAAAATGTGTAACCTAGGTATCTACATAGGTTCACGTGAGTTAGTAATTGGGCATTTATGTACCCCAAATCTTGTTGATTGTTTTAACTCTATAGTGTATCCAACAATTCATTAAAATATGTCTCATTCTACCGCATAAAGTGCAAATAGTAGAAGATGCATTTGAGATGGGTGAAAAAAGAGTTAAATTTTATCTTTTTACAAAATAATGTTGAAACTTTTTATATTTTTTGAATATGAATAACCAAATCTGGCTTTAGCTTTTGAAAATCATTAATTGGAAATGACCATGTTTAAGCCTTTAGAACTTAATGAAAATTTGTTCATAGCCTTTTCCAAATCAATATTTTTGTACTTTAATTGTTTGTTTTTAGTAAGTATAGTAGTA